TGGTGTCGACGGCAAACTTGCTGAGGGCGCAATGAATAACAAATGTGTCTCTCTTACCTGTGAGACCTCTCTTACCCTCTTCCTCCTCTTTTGGCATTCCAGGTGCTTACTCTCTGTTGTTCTTCCTTGCTTAGTCTTTTTAGCTTGACATTTGGGACTGAGCACAGTGAAACTCGGTCTGATCAAGCAAATTTTTACCCACAGCACCAACTCTTCAGGTGAAAACTTCTCCTCGCAGCTGAATCTGTGCCTTTTAGATCAGCCAGACAGGTAGCTTGTTCTTGTATTAAATGATATCACTAAGCGTGGAAAACAACCCCCTTCAACTCCCACCTTCTAAAATGATTTGTTAAAGAAGTTTTCACTGTGAAACAAACCTTATTTGCTTTTAATAACAGCAATGACAAAAGGAAGTAGCTTTCTCTTCCATTTATGCTTTAACTTGCAGGCTCCATAGTCTTTCTAAACATTTCACTTATCCTTAGTCCACAACCTAAGGAGAACAAATCCTGAATGATCCCTGTGTCTCTGTACAAGTGCAGGTCATCATTAACCTCTTCAGAAAAACTACAGACAAACTTTGATCTTGAATATGCATGCAGCCTGATTTTCTTTTTCCTCTTAAGACTCATTTCCTTGGTCTCTGAAACAAACAGGAACAGTACATACTTGATGCTTGGGAAGAATCAGGCCAGAGCATTAGAGATTTAATTATCATTTAGTGATAATTTTTTATGTTGATATTTCAGTTGTCTTCCTTGTGTATAGATGGGAGGGGGCTTTCTCTTCAGATCAAGCTAACAGAGAGGAGGCAGAAATGGACCACCTGAAAGAGCGCTCTATGTAAGGCCAAGAGCAGGTTTGAAAACTCACCTACTTTCTGTGACTGTTCGTTGTTCCCCATCTCCCCTTGCACCTCAGAGCTGATGCCGCCCTAGAGAAAAGCGCTGCTGCTGCATTGGACTGTTCCTGAGGTGTTTTATGTTCACCTCCACCCAGCTGTAGGCAGCTCACAGCAAGCTGCAGACACAGATCCCTCAATTTCTTTCTTCTTTCTTTATTTTTCTCCCCTCAGAGACGCCGCAGCTGAATCCTGTGATGGAACCTCTGTCCTGGATGCTAGGCACATGGCTCTCAGACCCACCAGGAGATGGCACCTTCCCTACAATGAAGCCCTTCCAGTACCTGGAAGAAGTGCACATCTCTCATGTGGGGCAGCCCATGCTCAACTTCTCGTAAGTCTAGAGGTTTATCTTTGTTGGCAGCAGCAGCTTTTGGAGCAGAGCTGGCATGACCCCAGTGAGATTTGCTGGTTGTGCTCCTTTTCCAGTGGCAAAGTAAACAGATTTTCACCTACCAAATGAGATGATGTAATATGTGACTGTATGGTCTGACTTCTGTTCTCCTTTAAAACTTGTGATTAATTGGCATGCTATTGCAATATCCCAGAGCTGCACACCTGCAGTCACTGGAGATTCACTCGCCCAAGAGTACAAGTGCACTTCCACAGAGGTTTTCAAAAGTGAGTTCACACCTGTGAACTCAGGCAGGACATGTGCACAGGACTATGAGCATAGTGTGCAGTTCTTGAGAGTTACATGGTGAGAAGTACCTCAGGGTGCTGTGAATGTGACTGTAACATAGAATAGTTACAGGTACCAAGGGTACCCGTACCAAGGTACCAAGAATGGCCCCAGCATGGACATGACTTTTGTTTGTGCGAATTCCATCTTGCCTTTGAAAGACCAGTGATTCTTCCACTTTAATGTGATGTGCACTGGGTGCATATGCTAGCCAAAAGATGTACTGTTTTCATGGCCAGAAAAAACCCCACCATTCTTCTTGCTGGCAGTAGCTGTCTAATTAGGAATGGATCTTTGGGTAATAGCATGACAACTGCTATCGTCGTGCTTTGTGAAACCCCACTTACAGATAAAATAAATGAAGGAGTTATGGCATGGCTGTCAGGTTTGTCCCTTTTAAACTATGGTCCTCAGTCTTCACCACTGTGAAAACTGAAAAAAATGAAAGTGTTTGACAGACTCCAAGGGATAGGAGGCAGATAGTATAACATCCTTGGTTGCAAGTAGTTCTAAGAAAAAAAGAAATCTAGAGGAAATGAAGTGATATGTTAGCTAAATGTTCAGGGCTGCTCCAATACTTATTTGAAAGGGTGAGTTAGAAAGTTTGTTGCTTTGAAGACCAGAGAAAGGAACAATTACAAGATGTCAGTGCTCTGTGTTCCTAGTGTGTACTGTTCACTGGGGCAGAGCTCAGCATGTGACATTTTTAATACAGTTTCCAAAAGAAACAGAGCTCCGACAGTCATGCTCTATCTTCATATCCCTTTCCAATTTCTGAACATTTGCTGATTTGAGTCAAGTGTTTTTTGACTGTTGCGAGACAGTCCATATGTCTCTTGAGTACTTCAGGCACTATAAGAAGGCTGATTTTTGTTCCTCCTTTGATTTTAGATAATCCCATCACGAGGCACAACTCTATAGGGTATGTGGCTTCACTAGCTGCAGAGCACAGAGGCTGAGATGGTAGGACAGTCCTTTAGTGCAGATGCAGCCCTGCACCACTGGCAGAAGTCATTCCTGGTTCTTCCTATAACCACATGGTTTAAAAGAAGACATTCTTTATATAGAGACAAAGTGAAAGAGGAGGAGTAATTTGTGTATTTGTGCCCAGAGGACACTGGGGAGCCAGAAGCAGCTGAAAGGCACCCAAACTGCTCCTTAACCACATGCCATAGCTGAGCTTCCCCTTCCTTGTCTCCAGGAAACTCGCAGGTTTCTTGTACTAAGTGTAGGGGTGCCATGTGCTGTTCCTGTGCTGCTGGTGGTCTAGGAAATGTTATCTCTGCGTGATTCATTACATCTTACTCCACAAAGGAGATAACTTGCTTTGGACTTTTCAGCTTTAATAAATAACTGCTCCAGCTTGCCACATGCCAGTGCTTGGACAAGCCCCTTGGCCAAGCTCTTTTGCACACTTGCCCTGTTACCATGGGACTGGCAGCTGACATTGCACCGTATTTGCAGTCCTAGGGTGGTTGACAGTGCCCACGGTGACTGATGTTGGCCGTTTCCTGTAGGCACATCCCAGTTGCACAGCAGAGGCATGTGTGGAAACTGCTGTCACAGAGCGAGTTCTCATGCAGATTTAGCAGCTCTGAGGTTACCTGTCTCCTTTCCTACAGAAGGATGCAAAGTGGGAAACTCTGTGGAAAGCAGTATGAAAAGAAGAGATTAGTCTAGAAAAACCAACAGGATGGTCTGCTACATTATATAAATACCTAGCTTGTTGTTGTGTTTAAGCTGCTGTTTAATTTGGTTATCTGTGTAGACTCAGGAATGGTGTAGCGCTAACGTAATGTATGAACATTGTATGACATGCATATAATCACCCACACTGCACGTGACTAAACATCCAACTGTAAAGCCTCATGAAGAACAAATAAGAATCTGAGCTGAACTTTTTTTTTCTTTTTGAAGGGGGTGATGAGAGAAATAAGTGTGCTCTGTTACTGCCTGCAGCAAGTAATGCACAAAAAACCCCAACCAACTTGCCAGGTTTAAAAGCTAAATAAAGATGATATTGTAATTCCAGACATTTATTTGAGAAAAGGAAGTATTTGAGACAGAGTATGGCTTCAGCATCTGTGAAATGTCTGACTTCCTTAGGGAGTTTCTCAGCTAGCTCTTAAAGACCCAGGAGCTGTGAAAAATCTGAAGCTTGAACTCTAATAACTCCAGTCCCTAAGGAATAGCTGTGCCTGTGAAGTAACCATGTTTTTACACATTTACATCTCCCAACCATGAAGCTTTGTCAGTCATTTACTCTTCAAATAATCCAGCAGGCAATCATGTGGTTAAATACAATACCATTGCTTTTGAGATGAAATTAGGCCAAACACTATTTTCAGTGCAATAAACAGCAGCTTTTGTATTCTGATTTCCCCTCAGGTTCAATGCCTTCCATCCGGACACCAGGAAGCCCATGCACCGAGAATGTGGATTCATCCGCCTCAAACCTGACACTAATAAGGTGGCCTTTATCAGTGCTCAGAACACAGGTACACACTTAATATCCACACTGGGGGGAAGAAGAGGTCCTTACCCTGTCATCACTTCCCAGAAAATTAGTGCACCTCTCACAGTTTCATTTAATTTTTAATCTTTTTTTTTTTTTCTCTTTTTAAACTGAACCCACAGTGAAACCAAATTAATAAATGAGCTTGTGTCAAAAGCACTGCCTTTCTAGTGCTGGCTGTGTGGCTTTGCCTACACACTGTAGCTTTGAAGCTTTCTGTGGCAGGAAAAGCCAAGGCAAGGACAGGCAAATTGAAATACCATGCATGCGGGAGACTTGCGGAGTATCTTTTCTTCAAATTATATGTTGGTATTTGCATATGTAGCTTTGTAAACCAAATGAACCCCTGCCTCTAACAAGAATTGCAGACTAAGCCTTAATGATGACAAGTGAGAAGTGGCCTGTGACATTCCTAATGCCTACATAGCATCCTGGTCTTTTTTGTGGGGAGGCAGGGGGGACGTGTACAGATAAGGTGCTTTATTTCCACTGCTTCTGTGAGTTGGCCACAGTGTACCCTGTGGTAGAAACAGAGGTGCATGCCTTGGTTTGTGTCCTCCTTTTATCATGTCATATTTGTCCAGCTGCTGCTACAAAGCAGGGACAGATTTAAGATCCCACTTAAACTGTTGTTACCAATGTCGACACTTGCCATATTGGATTCTGCAGGGTCGAGCCTGTGGCCCTGGCAAGGTGAGTCTGTGGTGGTTTTAAACCCCCTTTGCAGCCTCTCCAGTCAGGACTATTGGTTGTGACCCATATAGCAGGTTCCCTATTGGAGACCCTGCTCAGACTGTGGCACTACCAAGAGCCTCTACAGCACTGTAGCAGGGAAGCTTCTCTCCTATTGTTCCCTTAACAATCTTTGAGAGTAATCTCAGTGCAGTCTTCTTAGTTCCTATACTAGGAGAATCTCGCACTGTCTGGATGTAGTGCCTTGGTACTTATTTCACACCTCACAGGGACTGAATGAGAACCGTGTCTAAATTATTGTAAGAGTCTTAAAACCCAGTTGACATTTAAATTTGCATCTAGAACTCTGGAGCAGGTGCTGCAGGGAAAACTGCCAGTTGCAATGCAGTACTTTTCACACATGCTATGAGTAAGTCTGTCTGACTAGGTTTTTCTAAGCAGCATTACACGTTTGAGGCTGCATGGATTTGCAGTTGTCAGTATGTGCTAGGTCAAATAAAGCTGTTCTTCAGGGAGAGTGGTGGTCTATTACATAGCCTAGTAACTGTGACATTGTTAAGTAACCTTTGTAACCTAATAGTGTATATGACTTGTTTTCACTAGGTCTGGTGGAGGTGGAAGAAGGGGAGGTGAATGGACAAGAGCTGTCTATAGCATCTCACTCTATAGCCAGGATCTCCTTTGCCAAGAAGCCCCATGTAGAGCAGGTGAGTGTACACATGGTGAAGAGTTCACCTAGTACAGCTAGCCCCAGAAGGTGTCTAGTTGAGAGGGTAGGGTGATGGGCATGCTTTAATTACAGATTGCCATCAGGAGTTCTCGGAAATATTGCAAGGCATCCTGGCTTATCCTTTCTGTTACAGCCTTCAGAAGATATTTCATACATTACAAGACACAGAGGGATCATTAAGAGCTGATGTGCTGCATCAGACCAGCCAACCCAGAATCCTGTCTCCAGCAGTGGCCAGTAGCAGCTCCTTAGGGAAGAGAATAGGAAAATCTTGTCTAAACACCCTTGTACGGCAGTGGTGTCACTTCTTAATGCTGGTCTTCTGGATTAATTACAGTATCAGGGTGCACATGTAGGTATGTCCAGTATTTGGCCTCATCAGGATATTTTAGGAATGCCTGCCTTTCACTGGAGCTTGTGTGGCTGTATTGAACATACCCTTCTGTCTGTGGTGCGTTAACAGCAAACACAAGGATGGCAAAGGGGAGGTAGAAAACACTGGTGAGAAATTTAGCCTGTGGAAGCTGTTTGCTTGATTTTGTTCTTCCTTTTCCTACCCCCTTTTTAGATTACCAGAAAATTCAGGCTCAATTCCGATGGGAAACTCGAACAAACTGTCTCAATGGCAACCACTACGCAGCCCATGACTCAGCACCTCCACATTACCTACAAAAAGGTGACACCCTGATGCCAGGAGGGCCGCGTCTCCCTGCGAGGGTGAGGAGCGGAGTGTCGTGCACCGAGAGCAGCGGCAGCTTGGGAGCACAGCATGGCACACCCCGGAGCTGCCTGCGCTCACCCTGGGGCTGCGGAGCTGCCTGTCCTGTTGAGAATGTTACTCAGATGTTTCTGTAATGGTATATTAAAAAATAATAATAAAAAAGCTTTTATTTTTATAGCTGTGTCTTTGGGCGTGATTGCACAGTGGTCTGTGTGTGTCCCTCCTCTGCTCTGGCAGAGGTGCTTTTTGATACCTGTTCATTGGGCGTTGGGTTGCAGATCCAACCTCCTGGACCCTTCTCTGCAACCTGAATCAAGTTGCAGAGATCAGGATCAGGAATGGATTTGCACTGCAGGGACAGAACCTGAGAACTCCAGCTCCTGCCTAATGAAACTTGGCTTAAATATTCAGAGGGAGTACCAACGTCTTTCTGTGGGATGGAGAGAACTGTTACAGGGCCCAATCCTGATGGTGCTCTCCAGCTGACTTGAAAGGACCTGGGGCAATCCTGCAGTAGAGGACCAGACTTTACCTAGCTTCATGAAGAAGGTGCTGCTGGCAGGGAGGTTGGAACTGGATGATTTTTAAGGTCCCTTCCAACCTGACATGATACTGATACTCTTGAGTATGTCTCAAGAACTGGTAGAGGGGGAGGAATGTCAGTGCTGGAACTGGAGGAGAGGGGCCATTACTTTTTTTGTCTGTACCGCTTTGCTCATCCCTGTGAGGATGCACCCCTGCAAGGGGAAAGAGCAAGGGAGAGTCCCCTGGGACTGTGCTAAGCAGATCCCCAAAGGGGCCAGTGACTGCTCTACTGAAAGCCAGTGTGAGGAAAGAGACCACGTTAGGAATCTGGAGGAGACCGTCATCTCCTTTCCTGGTCTTGCACACCCCTAAGCTGCGGAGGGCAGGTGCCAGGCCCTCCTTCCTGCCCTGCTCCATCTCTTCCATGGTCCAGATGACTAGGGAGCTCCCAGCTTTGGGGCTGAGCTGCTGCCCACACCTGCCTG